CTGCTTTACGAAAGATTCTAATGTATAATCTAACCTTTGCTGACAAGAACTGTGTCAGCTCAACTGGACTGAATCTAGAGTCCATCGACTGCAGGTAGGTAAATCTTTGCAACGTTGAACAATCTCGTTTCCACGTAAGCACAGGGAATGAAAACAAACGTGCATGAACAAGGAGACCTAGGAACGATATTGATGAAAGTGAAATGTCGTTGATGAAATTTGTTTTTTACCCATCTCCAGGTGACTTTTCCTCAATGTTACTTGACGAGGACAAAGGGAAAATTCCGACATGAGTTTTTCTTGGGGTGGTTTCAGTCAGGAATCATTCTTCCTAAAATTATCGAATGTGATAAGACAGCGGCCCCATGTAAAATCCTCATGGGCGGACCGTGCGAGGGTTCCGGATGCTCACTGATTGACCCTTCACTTTCTACAGGCTCTGTGGGATCTCACTGCACACGTGCTGCGTATGCATTGCACTGCACGGCGAGATCTCATTGTCAAGTCACTCCAAACTCGGCCAAATATGTTACTTATATGGAGATGCGTCGATGGATTTCAACTGACGTTCACCGGCAAAACAGCTATACATGTATAACTACTTGTCATTAGGTTTAGTAAAACAGTGTTCCAATCAAGTTAAGGGATCTTTCCACGTCCAGGACTCCTGTAGGCTACTATTTTTAGAGTTTGTGTATTGTACCCACAAATGTAGTTAGTGAGTATTCTTGCTTTTGCAAGTTTTTTTCCAATTACTGATTAACAGTATAACAGTAGCCAAGTCCATTGTGGAATTTTCCTGTTTTTTCTTACCCTTATACTTTTGAGTTTGATCAAACCTGCAAGAAAGACTACAGCATGAAGTTTATGCTCGAAATTATTTGGTCCCCCCGAAAGTGCCTAAAACTACACAGGGTGTTCGCAGGATGAACACAAAGGAACCGGGAATTTGAAGGAGCATTGCTCAGTGACTAATGAACACACTTTAAACGATTATACTTTGAAAGCGCCCTTTGTCGTCTTTCATTTTGATACCTTGACGATGACGTCATGGATGGTCACAGACAATCTGAATTAGTACCAAAAGTTTGCTCGTCTCCCACGGTGAATTTTTAGGCTACAATTCAAAGGGAGGTCTGTTTAACAAATCTTATGGAGGCTTTAATATGATGAGGCTTTCGAAAGGATGTGACGTATCCAACATGGCGCACCTCCTCGTCACGAGATAAACAAAAATGGTTGGGTTGCTGTGCTGAGACACTCACCTTGTATGCTTGGTTTAGACAATTATTTGGTAATAATGTTTTTTCCTAAGAAAATATAAGCAGGGAATGCAAACCAAATTGTTTATTACAGATCCCAAATTGACGTGAGATTGCCTGTAATCAATCATTCACGACCCAGTCATTATCCTGCTGGTAACAAATGAAACCGGGCAAAATCGGTTTTAATCACCGTAAACTTTTGGCAATTCACCCTGATATCCCAGTTTCCTTTTTTAAAGAATATCCTGTATAATAGTGGCTACATTTTGCTATATATATATATTGCCATAGTTAAAATTTCCAACGATTATACATTTATTTTTTGTTTCTCGGCTGTTTTTACTATTTTGTCTGAAATCAGAATGTATTTTTACAGACATTGTATTTGGCAGAAACCTTCCATAAAACTGGGCGATGTCCATTCGTGTACCCTTTAATTCACTGTATCCGAAAATTGACTCTATTGTCATTGCTAGTAACAGCCGCCTGTCTCGTCTGATTCATTGGGTTACAAGGATATTTTGAAGAGAATCACTGATATAAGAAATTTGATTACAGAGTAAACCATTAATTTCCTACATGGACTGTGAATTTTATGGATTTTTCTGAGGTCTTAAACTTTGGGCTGTCAAATCATAGAGCCTATGGTCAAATGCTACCAGAAATAGTTCAGAAACATGCCGGAGAGGGTTTATTTTGTGAGCAGATTTGAAATTAAAGCAAATCAAAATGAGATTCTCTTCAGTTCCTACAAATAGCAAGACGTCATGCGTGTAACACGAAGGTAGCATACAATTAGTGTAAAGTACCAAGCAAAGCCAAGACGAGGGCCTACACCCGCACCTTGAATTTGTTAACAGCGTCAGAACTTTAATCAATTTAGAGAAAAAGAGCACGCCGTGCCGTTGCCTGAGAGTGGGCAAGGGGTTTTTGATCAAACGGCCGAGATGTTTTTTTTCTTCTTCAAGGAGATGCTGGCATGCGCCAAGGAATTAATGCAAAAACTTGTCACTCCCGCGTATTTACTCAAGACGACCCTGGCAAGTTAACACCCGGGGTATCGGTTCCACGGTCAACAAAATGTGAGGCAGGGCCAAATCCTTCCTTCCGGGGCACAGGAGAAAGCGTGCCTAAATCACCAAAAATGAAGTCAACATAATTATGGAGCCGTGCCCTCTTGAGAAGGCATCGCTATTGATCAGTCTAGCTGCCTTGAGTGCTCCACTTCGACTTGCCTTCTTTTTCCTCCGTTCCCCTTCTTTCCTGGGTCAATTTGGTGATGCTCTATCTACCAACCTGGAACTGGATATCCCCCACCTGCTGTGTAGGGTTGTAAGGGGACGATTTCCCGTCTGTCCCCCTCTTGCCTTTAATGAAGTTTGCCTGTTTAGGAGCACCCTTTGGTGTCTCAGCGTGGATTGAATGCTGTCTAAATTGAATGGGGGAGCATCATTGATGTCGGTTGTTACTATGACAGTGTCCTCTTGGGCGCGTCTAGGAGTCTTTCTGACATTCGTGACCATCTCTTTGTCCGGAGAAAAGGAGGCTAATTGGGTATGTGGTCTTGTCAACAGTGACCCAGTTTATTTCTTGCACTTTCCCCTTCTTTATTATGGTGTAGCGCTCATCTGTAAATAGACAAAACATCCACCTTTTCTCCTGCACATATGCGTTGGATCACGTAGGTCAGCTGCCCTTAACGTAATAAACAAAGAGCTATTTTGAGTTTGTCCAAAGTACCCTTCAGCTGCACAAATTCTAAACAAAACCACTACGCTGAGCTGGACTGCACTTCCAAGATAGGCTGTAAGTTCGCCCTTCTCATTTTGACTTCAACACCCTGGTGTGTTGATGCCGCTTATTACGAAGGGCGGTCCGCTAATGAATCAGGGGTAAAGGAAGACATAATTGTAAAAGCGATGAAAGCTTTACAGCAGGGGACCCGTTTTTTGCCTAATGATCTGAGGATCTGTAACCGCTTGATTTAAACTAGAAAAATTGGAAGTATGTAGAGCTAATGGTCTCTAGAAATGGCACGGCGCACCCTGAAGATTTATTGCATGGATCGAGTTTCCCATCTCTAACAAAAAAAGAAATAAACTCCAAAGCCTGGACGGAAAGATCTTGTTGTAATTAGGCCATATTTAAAGACTTTCTTCTCCGGTTTTACCTCATCATTAAAGCTTTTATTACAATGCTGAAAAATATTCTTACATATATTGAAGACAATCATTCTGTTTCGAGGAATTGTTTTGAAAAGCGGTTTTGAATAGGGCAGAAATAATATGAAGGACACAGAAAGGCAAATAACTGTAGTTTAATCGATCGTTTCATTATTAGCCTCTATATTGCCCTAAACCTTTTGTTTCCAGTTGCTTTTATTTAAACGTGTGTGTGGTTATTTAATTACTGCAGACTGGTACCCGATCATGTGTATGCGAATAGCTATATAATATTATACTCATCTCAGACACCATTTGGAGTTCTACCTACGCCACTGTTTTGACCAACAATCTCGAATTCGTTGGTTACCGCTACCCATACACTTCCCCGGCGCAAAAAGATTCATCATTTTGAATAAGTATATTTGAATCTGACTTAACTGTTTATGATTTCACTGCCTTAAACATAATACGTTTGACAGGCTGTCATTTTAAACAACGAGTAAAAACTACTGTAGGAATACCAATGACTAATTATGCACAGAATTTTGATTCCCTAGTTTGGGCGTTCTCATTTGACTCAAACCGCTCTCAGTATGAAGCAAGGCCTGCATCCCAGATGTTTATTTTATTGGCTTAGCATAACGATGGAAGGATGGATGGAGAATGGCCAGGCAATGATGAGGTCGTTCATAAACGCGATATAAGATCGGCGTCATCTCTACGGTCATCCGTCTCGTACGATCGCAAGGGGCATTCCCAATGCTGCCCCATCAATTACTGGATTCTATCCACGATCAGAGATTTGTGGCATTTATGCATTAGAAATCAGCCTTAGTTCATGGATCAGCTTCGTTCCATGGTACTTAAACCCGGCTGTTTTCGCAATGGTGTCTGGCCATAATACCCTTGTTGGTTTAATTTAAGGATTGCACGCAAAGCACGGGGGACTGCGTTTGCCTGATAAACTGTTGTGAAACACAATCAAATCGCCTGTTATGATAGGCATTTGGGTATAGCCTTATTTTCTGTTGTTATTACAAACATTAGAATGCTTACACAACGGCATTGCCTCGACGTTTGCAAAGACTACTTGGAGTCTTATTTAACGAAATGATTTTTGGAGGGGTAGTTTCCTTACAGTTCTTTGCAATATTTTCCAGTAAAAATATTTCAAGGGGATACAAATTCAAGAGAGACGGGTGTGCCGTGTACTATTTATACGTTGTTGTTATTGCTAACTGGGGATTTATGCTAAGTGTCTTTTGTAATTTCTCGCCAGTGATAAAGGAAAGAGTTTGTGATACTTATTTATATCTTTTGTTTTCTATTGACACTTATTCCAACTCGCGTGGCTGCTAGAAAGTCATAAGTCTGTGTTGGAAGATCGTTTAGTGTTTCATTAAGCTATACTCTGGTCCCGCCAAGAGTGCTTTCACTTTAAGCGCCTAAAGCACACCTGGTAGACCTGCATGTGCCCCTCCCAATTCAGTTCTGGATTTGCACGTGCCACCCACTACCCAAAAGGCATGTCTGGCGTTTCCAGTTTACAAGGCTTGTTTTTGATTTGCAGATTGCGGCAACAACGAATGCGAAGGGGATGAAGGGGAGGATTGTTCAACCTGCCCGGCCGATTGCAACAGATGCCCGCTGCCACAGGGTGCTGTAGCGGCCATTGCATGTACCTGCGTCTTCATCATGGCCGTCTTTTGTGTCGTTATCGGGGTAAGATTCCATTCCATAATGAATATACTATTATATATTTCAGTCATATTTATATATCTATTCACCACCTTCCCAAATACGTATTCAACTTTGCAAAAGGATATTAATTATACAAATAATGAATGGTTATGAGTGCAGGAGTAAGAAAAACTTTCGCAAGGTTGGAGATGAAATGAACATTTTCGGGCACTGAATTGAAGTCAGTCTTCTTGGCAAGAATATTAGACATTCATTATTTATTCGCTGCAACTCCCTAATAAATTCTTGCATCATATGACACATGACGTATCAATGGTCGTTTTGTTGCTATTGTGTTTTACTAAGCAGATAAAAAGAGAGGTTTTTCAATCAAAATATGAGTTTTCATTAGGGACCATTAGAAATGGTACAGTATCCTTACAGGATAAATGTAAAGCTCCAAAAAAACAGGGTGGTTAGTTCAGAATTGTGCCTGGTTATTTTATCCTCCATACTTAAGTCAATGTGCATTTCACATAGTCACACAAAACGGCGATGTAACACCCACTAATTCCAAACCGCAGGCTTACCCACATCCGCACCACGTTTTAAAAGTCCCTGTTTCATGTGGTCTTGTGACGTCACACGGCACCCCCTATCTACTGTGCGCATGGTACGGATAATACCTCGTGTTGGTTCGCTACACGTCAATGAAGACAGCGTTGTAAATTCTCAATTTGCTCTTGCTGCTCTTCAAATTCATTCAAAAATGCATGGTTTTGTTGAGGAAAAAAAATCTTAGACTTTGTACGTGTACTTTTTTACGTTTCGAAGTAAGATTAGCTGCGCATACGAGGTTTTCATTTGGGATTATCATTGTCATTGATAAGAGTGTCAGATTGCTTAAATGTAAAGGGGGCAAAACAACAGAATTAGCAGTGGGGGACCTTAAGACGCTTGGTGGCGACAGACATACCTGTCCTTTTTACCAGTTCTGACCATGCGCGTGCTGTTTTGAGCGTGGGCGTATTCGAAACCCCATTTTCATGGGACTCACGGACAGTGTTCTTGGGTCGTTGATAACGAACGCCGAAGTGCAAAAGAAGTGCAGCTGCGCTGAAGGTCAAAATAGCAGTCGCCATTTTGACACTAAATGAAAAGATGGCATGACATTTACCATCTCACATTAAGTAAAATCCCCAAATATCCACATTAAATGGTCAGGGTAAATTCTCTCCGATAGCCATGAGTATTTGCCCTGAGTTTTATTTTCCTTATTGTGAGTGTTTTCTGTTTTATGTCGCAAAACCAACATTACGTTAAGGTATGTGCCTATATCCGCCATCTTTGTTCTTGATGTTCTCCATCCAGTCCCCAGAAAGTGGGAACTGAGAATCTTGTTCGCGTGTTGATTCTCCCTGTTCGAAACCCCGTTATCGTGTTCGTCTTACCATAGAGCTACACACGAGAACGGGGTTTCGAATACGCCCCACGTGTGCATAGTTCTGAGTACGCGCACTACCTTCAAAAGGACCGGTATGTCTGCTGCAGCCAGCGTCTCAAAGTCTCTCATTGTCGTCTCGTATAGCAAAATGTTTCAGTACAACTATACCGTTCGTGTGCAAAATGCATCGTTTTCTGAGCTTGGCTTTTTATATAATGGGTGGTTGCTCTGTGGTGTTGGCCCCAGACGTCAATGTGCTTCTGCCATAATCCACTTCAAACGTTGTAGCTCAGGCTGCAGATAGTCAAAGCAGTGTGTCAGCGATTAAAGACGAAAGCCGCAGCCTGAAATGCTCAGTGCAGACAAAGCGTTGGCCTGCAAATCACGTCATGATAGCCATATTTGGACGGCAGCGTTTACTTACTAAGATGGATGAGCACTACAGCAGGTGTACCTTCCTGTCGATAACCCATTACAAACACTCAGCCTCTCCCGGGTTAAAATGGTGTCAGTCTGCCGGGGGTTACGTTTTGGTCTTTCCCTGCCACAAGTCCCGTCTCCCCCAGGGCTCAGAGTTCAAGCCCATCCTGTCAGAATTAATCACAACCAATATTCCAGCAATTTACCAACAGGATGACACAGATGGCAGGGCATACTCCTGGAACCCTGAGGGAAGAAAGATTTGGCCGAATATCTTTTAAAAATGTAATCGATTCTATCGCGAGGAGGAATTTTCATTATTTATTTACTTTTATATTGACCTTGCCATCTGAAATCTATTTGATCTTTTGCCATGGGCTTGAATTTTCTGCAGTTGATGATATTTACCCGATTTCGGATGTCACATGTGTTTAGGTGATTTCCAAGACTGGGCGTTATTATCAGTCGGCGATAAGGATCAGCGGACAGAGAGAAGGAAAATTATCCCCTGAGAAAATTGAACTTGAAGCTATCCTGGGTAAAACGGCTATCCCACAAGATTATATTAACTTCTGCATAACAGACAACTTAAAACAGCCCATTGGTGACGCTTTCTTTGAAGAACGTACTCAAAACTAAGTGGTATATCCAGGCTTTGTTGTAACAGTCCAACTGCCTCCCTTACCGGCACATTTTGATTCGTGACGACACACATTGACAATTGGAACCGCCGTATATTTACATTAATCACGCTGTTATTTAAGTATTTGAACGTTTACTTTATAATACATTGTCAAGACAACTACAGCAAGGAGGAGTTATCATCAAGCGTCCATGTTCAATCATGCAGACGGTTCAATAAAAAAACTGCTTTTCACTGCCATTCCTTGCCACTATCGCCTTACACTTGAATGAGTGAATGCACCGAGTCCTTGGGGCCCTTTAGATAAACAGATACGGAGGTCATATTATATTCAACTTCACTTTCACATACGAAATCAACCATGTTACGGGCCTTGCCTGTCCATAATTACTCGTCTGCTAAGTCTTTTACATGTATTAGTTTGCCACCCCCTCACACCCTTGTCGACTTTTTGAGTTGTTTGTTGGCTCTGGCCAGTTAACTTGTTCGCCTGCTGGTTTGGCTAGTCGGCCTCCACTGAGGTCGACTGGGCGAATAGATGGCAGAGCAGTACAGGCCTACATGTATATGCTCGCTCTTGTCAGCCAGTAGGCTGGCTAGCTGGTGCAAGTATTAGGTTTCCCTAGCTGGTTGCCAGGCTCAATAGTTAGCTGATAGGCTAATTTGGCTGGCTTGCAGGTTCATTCTCTTCGTGGCTGAGTGGCTAGGCCTATGGGGGGGCGGTTGGCTGGATGGTAGGCTTGAAGGCTGATAGGCTTGTTGCTTAGTTATGGTTTGATGATATTCAGATTGCCGGTTGGCTCATTGTCTGGCTTGTCGTTAGGCTGATGACTTGCTGGTTCACGTATCCCCAGAAGGGTTGTTGCATTGTTTGGGTGACTTAAAATGGACTATTACACACTGAATTCGTTTCTACCCATTTACTTCTAAATTCATACAATTGCGTGGATTGTTTTAAAAGTGGTATACGCCATATGCATTTGTAGTAGTTTTTCAATATTAGCCGATTCGGGGGGTTTGTTGTGGAACTTACTTTGTGTATGGTGCATCATTCCAAGGACTGAAATCTTTTCAGCGCACCACTCGGAGAAAAAAATAAGAAAACGCTACCCGTTTCTAGCTTCTAGCTTGTGTGCTTTGTGTTGCAAAAAGTCCATGGACTACCGGACGATCCTGAGTGCCTGGATGTAGTGCAAAGGGGAAGTCAATCTGCAAATCAGAGATGGCCCCAAAAGTGCATTTTTCAGGGCTTCGAGTAGTTGTCGGCAAATTGACCTTCATGTTTTTGTCTCTTCCTTCAATAACAAAGCGCTGTGAATACATCGAATAAAATGACACTCCATCGTGTACTGAAGCGACTGCAGTCACGGCGCGGCGACATGCCAGTGCAAGCTGCAAACGACCACACGTTCATGTCACATGCACGTCGCTGAAAAACTATCCAAATGCCGTCAGTGCACAATATTAACACTTTATGTGTCCAAAAATGTGGACACAACTCTTCCATAATGGGCTAAAGGTTATCGTGATAGGAAAAACGGGGGGTGTCTGGAAGTCGCAGATTTTGTTCAAGAAAACAGGCTTCGCCACTGAGGGGTGCAGACCACTAATTCAAGCGAGAATTTCTGGCCAGCTCATTAGCATTAAGGTTTAAACGTGCCCCCCACAATATCTTTTGAAAAGGAGATTGTTCGGCCCCCAATATGGTGAGATTGTGTAAATCGTTGCCGGGATCAACTCCCTGGGCCTTTGAGCTTTCATATGAGAGCAGAATGGCTAAAAACCATGGCTGAAAAATGGTCCTAAATGCCTGAGAAAGTTTAGGGTTGCCACTTGAAAAATGGCTGCAATCAGACTTCGGAAAAATCACTTTTTGGGGGTGATTTTGTGTTGTGGGAATAATTAAAAATGTAATTGGTTAACCCACAAAAAAATTGTGCTGATTTTACACTGTTTTCAATGGGGCTTGAATTAGTGGACTGTACCATGAGCTCGGCAAAGAGCGGCCATGTTGCACATAAAAGTGCCGCTCGGCTTGGACCATACCATCATCAGAAGGGGTAATAGTGAGATAGTGATAGTTTCGCCTGAGGTAAACTCCTTTTTCATAAATGAAATTTTAATTCAAATCAATTAAGATTGTCCTTTAGCGTATTGATTACAGTGGTGTATCTGTTTTGTTAATTGATAACAAAATCCCTCTTCATGTGGAGTATATAAATAGACACCTCAAAGATGCCTGTCGTGTTGTCTGAAATGCAAAACAAAATAAGTTACTGCCCGGGCATGTATTTCGACAACTTGTCATGGACGGAGAAATGTCTGCCCATCCTCCGCGGTATTTATGCTATGCTAAATGGGCTGGTTTAATGTCATCATTTTGATTGTCTCTTATTGATTGATTTCAGTATTTCTACTGGAGGCAAGAAAAGATGCTGTGGGACGAGAGCTGGATCGTCAACTATGACGACATCAAGCCAGGTCAGAGGTCAAAGTTATTTATTGTTAAAACGAGAGGCATTGTGCCGGAATGTACTATATTAAGTTCACAAAGGGTTCAGATTGTGTGGTCACAAAAAGGTGTTCCCAGGAAAGACAACATTGATATTTGGATCAATAAAACTATGCGGATTAGTGACTGTGAGCAAAATCTCCATAGAACTGCTGAAAGCAAGGCTCTTTTTATGGATTTATTTTCAAGAAGACGAGCAGTGTGACTTTCAGTCTGTGTTGGTGACACCTGGCAGATAACAGTGCACCTTCGGAGGCAACCAAAGCCACTCCGAACGGATGCTTATGCTCTGTTGTCTGTCGTTCCCGAAGGTTCTGGTGATAGGACCAGACATAAAGCCACCAAATCATTTCCAAGCAATATTCTTGTCCCATCCCTTATGGAGTTTTGTCTGCACTAAATATGAGTGCAATCATGCGTCTAGAAAAGCTTGGGAAAATTCAGATATTGTAAAAACGACTAGAGAACTTCCCATGACACCCATCAGAGAGTTTTCGTATAGTAAAGAAGAGTATGAAATTGCATAAAAATTACTTTCAAGAAAGATTCACCGCATGCACCCTAATGTAAGAGCAGAGGGCGGCATCTGCCCCACCCCGAACATTTCCTTCGATGTCGTCTTAGTGCATCGTACTGTCCCGCACTGAGCCTTATTTTGTAGAAATGTCTTTCAGCCATTTGGACACCTGGTTTATAAAAATCAGACATACTTTTCTCCCGAAAAGCCCTTTTTTTAGACAGGTGAGTCAAAAATGCATATTTTTCCCATTGTCGTGCTCAATGCGCAGGACGACGCGTGTGACGCCTTAAACTTCAAATGACCGTAGACAACCATGTTGATATAACAATAGTTGTATTGACACTTCACAGATGTACTCATAATACGTCTGCATATGCAAGCCTACTGTCAAAAAGATCACATGACAGCCGTTCGTGGAGGCGGATTCCACCCTAATCCCGCTGGCCGTGAGATGGCCCCCAAAAAGCACGCTTCTTGCTCATTGTGGTTAAAACAAACCTTAACTCCTTCCTTCTGCCAACCCCAAAGGGGGGGAAGTCCTTCCCTCCATTCAAAAGGAATGTTAGTCGTGGGAGTTTATATTGTCTGGGTCGTCTAATTGTGCTACGTGACGTCACTGCCCCCCCCTCCAGATACCGGCATGCGAGGATTCACTGGTAGTGTAATCAGCGTCCGTACCGATAACGAGGCTTCTAGCATCGGTGGGTTAGCTGCTGCGGCACATTCTAAACAGCTCTTCGCCCAAACCGGAATCCTGTAAGTCAAGTTGACGTAGTTTAAAGAATTTCATGTGGTCTTGAGAGACCTGCATGGAATGGCTGTAGCTAGCACATGACAGATATGTAGCCTACTTGGAAATATTAAACAAACAATCAAACACACGGTCCATGTGATAACAAGTTCAGTTTTTACAACGTGGACAGATTCAGGGACCAAAGTTAGAAGACATTTAAACTGCGGTACATTTGGCCTTGAGAAAAGACACTATGGGTGTTTTTGATGAGGATACCCTTAAACGAAACTAGAAAGAAAATGTAAGAATGTAATGAGTGTCCTTTGTTCTAACCCTTCCAGCAACGGGCAAACTGTTGCCATTAAAATCATCAACAAAATTTCATTCGCCTTGGACAAACGTATCCGGAAGGAGGTGAAACAAGTAAGGTAAGCATCATCGGAATGTTTACTGAATACACACTCATCTTGACCCTAAGAGAGAAATCTCTACTGCTGCTGCTGCTTGCGGGTGCAGATGGAGGGGGCAGGGTCAGAATTTTGCCTTATTTATACCAGAGAACCAGGGGTTCAAGATGTTGAATAGAGTGGAGATATCTTGTGTCGTGTGTGATTTAACCAGTGGTGATGCTGACGCCTTTATTTTCGCAGAGTGGCTTTCCGTTCGTTCTATATACGAATTCAATGAATTTTGGGTATTGAAATTTGAGAAATGCAAACCAACATTTCATGTTTTTTTTTCGGGCTGAAGAAGGCGCTTGTCCAACTCTCCAAATGTTGCTCCAGCGACGTAATCAAAGAGAAACATGCTAAGGGTCATTTTTGGATGGCGTTGTTCACCCTCTGACGACGATATAATGGAGTACTAAAACATGGGAGAGCAACAGTTCAGCTGCTTCACACCTCCATCCTCGCTGTCCGAATCAATATTTTACCTCTTCGGGCCGGCGATGAAATTTTTCCACCGGGACATTTATTTTCTCCAGGACGTCGGTCTGTGGCCGGTCAGTGACTTTGTGATGACAACAGCGGGGCTTGTGTCCCGTCTCACTCGACACATCTCGCGGGAAGCCGGGTGGAAATTGAGATTCTGATCGTGACGTTATCGTGACGCTGTACCGAATGGTTCCAGGACAAATACAGCGCGGAACGCGGGCAACAATTTTCTTGGATTGTTTTCCGAGATGTGAGCCGACTAAAGCCATCTGTCCAGATGCTCCCGCTCAAAATTGCCTCCAGCAAGGAATGATTGTATGAATATTTTTCAACAAGTTTGTCGTTGGGATACTATCTAACTAGAAAAGTTCTAATACAGGGATCCATGGGGGAAATGCGGCAGTACGTGTCATAGTAAGTTTACTACTAATCTGAAAATAAACATATTGTTCTTTCTCGAAGATTACTGTTTTCATACACTACCTGCGACCCTAAATCCAAATTTAGGCACCTTTTTCAACCACTTCAAGCACCAAAGAACATATTTTGATCCATAAACTGCCGTGGAATAAGCCGGTACAAGAACTACGCATGATTGACCATGATAAAAGCAAGAATGCCCCATACAGCGGCTCTTGGCAATATCTAATCTAACCACACGATCAAATATTGCACCCTCACCAAAAAACTCGCAGAGGACATCACATCGATATCGAGCCGTACAGCAACGGGATGGCCGGCATGGTACACGCACATACATCAGTGTTTGCGTTCATTATTATTTTGTGGACGGACTGGATGGGTCGAGATTGTGAGAAGATTTTAGATTCGTACTTTTCTTCTTGGAATATTTGACTTGAAATGAATGCAACACCCTGGGCTGCCATTCTGATTCGCTGGATAACTCAAAGTGTGATTAGGGTGGATGGAATTGAAATCGACGTGGGGCGGCGCTTCAAGCTCTTGCTTATCCACCCCGATAAGCTGCAGGCAGTAACTCCACCTATAGTCTCGGTCTGCCCTCCGGTCAACAATCCAAAATTAGGATGCGAATGCGCTGATTTATTTTCACTTTCCGTCCCCTTGGATGATGTTTGGGATGATGACTTGTCGGGAGAAAAAAAAGCAGGCCCCTGGCTTTCATGCGCACAGACAGCGCGCTGGAAGATCAACAAGCAATCGCCTGAACGGATGCAGATGTGGATCAGCCCCTGACTCGTGAGTGAAGGCGTTCATGTTCAGGGAATAGTGCAGCTGGTAGAGTAAACCAACATCCATGAGACACTACAAAATGTGATAGGTGAAGCGCTTTAAAGATGCTTAGTATGTTTACGGCACTGTGCGGATTGATACGAATCATTTGTTTGTTGTGCAGTTGTGATTGTGCCCCAGGATAATAACAACAGATCAGCTTTTCAAAGCGCAGTGCCGGGCATTTACTATCTTGAAGTTTTCCAGCCTAATAATTTGACTCAACACTTACAGTTTTAGTAGACTTAATTCAAATTACATAATTTGGGTCAGTGTAGGAAAGTGTCACAGTTATCGTGCAAAATGAATTTCTTATTTTAACTGCATCTCAACATTGAATAATTGGTGCCATAAACGTACTCGATCTTCAACACCACCCCACACAGGACATTGGGATGGGCTAATTTCTTCGGACTGCGTGAAGAAATGTTTGAATCCTCACTGGATAGAATGTACGTCATGACAGTGCGCACAGGTTGTACGGGCATTCATGAAGGTGCTCAGTTACCCACAAAGCATTGCGACGTCAGTACTTTCTCCACAAATTCTGTTCACGTCATTTGCTCACCCAGAATCCCGGGAATGATGGTTGGGACGAACAAACATGGAGGCAGTGATACCCAAAGATATGATGCCTGTAATGAAGGAATAATTATCCCCCCCTCCCCGAAAATCAGTTATCGACTGCTGTGACGTGGGATGTGATGTTTTACACTTGACTCCCTCGAGTGTTAAAACATCACATCCCATGGGTGTTACTGGCCCGGTCGTGTGATCGTTCTGGGTTAATGAAAATACAGTATTCTAGACAAAGGTACAACACATGAAGTTTCTACACGTACGTGTACACTGCATCGTCTCATGTCTTTAATGGTGTTGATTTAACACATGTTGATTCAACCACATATGAACAAACAGTCAACCTCCAGGGTCTGAGCAGAGCTCATAGATTGAATTTATTGAATCCGTTTCCCATTTGTCAATACATAATTGAAACCGATCTGTGAGTAAACTCAACTGTCAAATTAATTGGCTTTTTCCCGTGCCTCTTTTGCCTCTCAATCACATACACTTCATCAGAGACATTCATCACGTAAACCTATGCAAGTTCATGGGAGGGTGTATTGAGGTCCCTCACGTTGCCATAGCGACGGAGTATTGTCCCAAAGGCAGCCTAACGGATGTCCTTCTTAACGATGATGTTCCACTGAATTGGAGTTTTAGGTAAGTGGAATTAGCTGTTGTCGGTATTTTTCATTTCGTGTTTGGATTTGTGTACATTTAAGGTCTTGCGCAATGGAGACGTCTAATTCCTTGTGTTACAATTAAGTGAGGAAAAACGTTTTAAACTCGCTGAATGAAAGGAGCTTACATTAAGAAACACGCATACAAGATCGGGATACAAAGCAGTTAGCTGGAGTAATATTATCGATAATAATTTGTAAGTTGCTTTCATGTTTAATTTAATCGGCATTCGCCGATTGGCCGTTGTGCGTTTTGTTTCAGGCCATTTTCAATTTCTCATTTTAAACGCGATTTCTATACCAACTTGGTTATATTGTATGAATTTTTCCCATTTCTCTGCGATATGCTAGTGATGGTAGTGTTCTCTCTTTGTATTTTTTTTAGAAAACGTACATGTATTTTCGTTTCATTATGCTTTTCAATCCGTGGAATGAACCTACATGCAGATGGGATAAACTATTAATGCATTTCTGTTTGGATCAGAATACATGGGGTTATTTTTTACAAATGCTGAGCTGTAAGAGATGCTTTTATTATTTATTTCATGATATCATAAAATATTGTTTCATAATTATTCAAAATATATTGCAACACTTTTGAGTGTCTGTCCTTTTACCAGATGGTACTCACGGCTAGGTTTGTGCCATCTCACAGTAGTTCATTCGTCGCCAGTAACTTTTCGTAATGCTTTTGAACTGTTTTGGGTCATTGATCTGTCGTGGGCCGAGAGCCGACAACCAATTTGTATTCAACAGTTCGCAAACAACTAAATTTTTTGTATCTATAGGCTGAAAGGTATCATTCCTTGATTGAGAATCCTCGCACATACATCTATTCTGCGACCGAGCCCGCAGAATTGGAATTTCTTTCCCAAACCCTCTTGGGTTTCAAGTCGAGATCGGAGAACTTGGCTCGTTAACTCGGCGTTCAGTATGTACCGTCAGCTACGTCTAAGCCTCTGGTCCTGGTTATCAGCTCCTAACTCGACATCGCCATGTAAGGGCACGCTGAGAGCACTTCAGTTTTGACTTTTCAAACAATGAATCTGTCTCTCTTTCCCCGTTTCGTACAATCGCCCAAACCCCGCTTGATTCCCATTGAGGGTATGCGTGAATTGAAGGGATCATATCACTAGTTGCCCTCCAGTCCAGTGAAATATTTCCCGCACGGCCCAGGGTGGAGTATATGGTGTCGCACTCTGAGTTGGAAGGTTCTTCCTGTGGGCCTGGGCATAAGAAACAGAGTTGTATCGACTCGTTAAGGCGGGCTCCGTTACCTGTTTGATGGCTTCTGAAAGTGCGATGGTCTGTACCCCCGAGGTGTTCAGATGTATGTACCGCGCGTCCGACGCCGGGCGCCCAACCGATCGGACTCCCAAACGCGGTTAAAGAGCCAGACAGTTCATCGATTGGGGAATTGTTTGTTTCCCGAGATGCCAAACTATGTTTACAGGCAAAAGAAGTTGAAGTGGCAGTCTGCTGCGCTGGGCCTAGACGTGCATCGATTAGGAGAGACATAGTGGAGATGCTTCCGCCTTGTCTATTTTTTATTACTCCCATACGTGCCAGAAGAGACCTATAATTATGTTTGTCTCCGAACTTCAAAAAGTTCATCGTGTTCTCAACGGCAAAAGAGGTCCCTTTTTTAACATATGAGGGCCATTTCAGAAGTATGTCACCTTTTGTGCCCTACAAATGGTAAGAACATTTTTTCTGAGCTAAAATGATCAATGTTGAAAGAAACTAGCTCCGTCATTTCTCCAACTGCTCATTCAGTTCTCTGCCCCTGCTCATAGTCGTAAGAAACCTGACAAGGCGTGAGAAAATAATGCCAAATTCAGCAAAACTCCCCATTGCTCGTCATGTGATCGGCCCAAATTGTTTAATCAAAGCCACTAGCGTCGATGTCAATATTGATTCGGCTCAAAGCGGCTGTGTGTTGGCGAAAGACGAGCGCCCTTTAACTCCAAGCCTTCCCAACAGCCAAACAAGCCAGCATCCTGCTCAGAGATTCCATCTCTGAATAGCTTCAAACCTATAATCGCTATCGCCCAGTTTAGACTGCCGAAAGTCATCCCATTTGTTTGAGTTTCCTCGAGGAAAAAGAAGAAGGTGTAAGGTGACTATTGTACTAAGGAACCAAGACTGACAGACCCGCTGTTTTGCCAAAAATGGCCTCCAGAAAGAAATCACAAATTAAACTCGAGTGAGCGCGGACGCAGTGGAATACATGTGACTGCATGGGCTATGTGCAGGAGTCGCTGAGCTGTAGGCCCACAATGTGTCCTAGAAATAGTGCAAGCAAATGTTGTCCAGTTTAATCATGTGGCTGAATTTATACGACTCGTGGTTTTGAAGAAGACACTCTTAGCATGATTATACTGTTACTATTCACTTTTTCTTTTCGCTTTGGACGATCGAGAGGTAAGCCCCAGTGAAAAACAAACTCTCCGAATTGAATTATGTGTCCATGATTTTAAGCGAAACGACTGCTTAGCATGCATCAATGTGTCTTCCACCGTCAGCATCTCTTTTGAAATTCAATCCAATCAAAGACGAAAAAGGCAGGTCGTTATTTCACCACTGGTGATCAAGCTTGAAAGAGGAGAAATCATTTGACTGCTTGTGCAAACTGAGAATATTCAGGATCGCCAAGAGTAATGGAATACAAAGTATCATGAAGGCAAGAATGTCCACTTTGAAGCCAAGCACGTTATAATAAGTTATAAAGTTATAAAGATGCCGGCAGTTGATATTTTATGTTTAAATTGGGCAGCACTTGCACTATTTTTGGAGGAGAAAGCATCGCCGCTCAATTGCTTTCATTTGTTATTTCACTCCAAGTCAATTCAGTTTCTTTCATTATTAGCCTAAATGACAACGGAACAATATTTTCGGTTTCAATTTTCCTTCTATGCAAAGATAGGTTTTGGAAAGATTGAGACCTTTTAACATTTTTTTCTCCGTCCGGTGAGAGAAACTTGTTTCTCCGGTATTAAATCGTGTGTTACAGAAGTCACTTTGAAGTTCGGTTGATATAGAAAATAAAACAAAATCGCTTTCTTAAATCCCTGTCAGACACTCCTAAGTAACGTCAACTAGAAACTGAATGTTCTCCCCGTGATCTTTATTAATTATTTTTCTCCTTCCCAGGTTTTCATTCTGTAGTGATATAGCCCGCGGAATGAACCATTTACACAGCAACAGAATCTACCATGGAAGACTCAAATCCTCCAACTGCGTGGTAGACGACAGATGGGTGGTGAAAATATCTGGTAAGAGACAAGTTGGAGACGCTTTGGAAAGCGAGAAAAAAAACCTCTTGTAGGAAATTAGAGAATAAAATTGATGTGCGCACGTGAGGCATTTGATGTAGGGCTTTAATAATCATAATATCATCAATCGTGGAATGCTGCTTATTTTCCGCCAAGGCTGGGAAGCGGGCATCTGCCGCGTGTCACGCGTAATTTGGAACATTGGTGATCGTAATTAATGGTCCGAGTTTTCTTCCAGCGACCGTGCACGCCTCTTTGGAGGCCTGGTTTATTTGCCGTGTTGCGCCTGTCGCTATGATTATCTGTTGGCGGTCGTGATGTATTAACCGTGATGAAACTCGTTCATCATCGATGCCATTTGATATAAGTCGCAATTGTTTCAGTGTGTGCTTACCAATTCCAAGAATTTCATCTCGTAGTATTCCTTCGAACTTTATTTCAGTAGGCCAATTTCTGTGGATAATAGCTTGTCTCTACAACTTTGCATCGTTCATGGAGCCCATAATTAAATCATGTAGTGTTGCCGTACATATCTGTCTGAAAAATCTTTCATTGATATGGTTATTTTGGAAGATATTTTGTCGAAAATCAACCATTTGAGACGGCATTTCATTCAGACTGACCTGGCTCTGTCATTAAAGAAGCATGTATCCGTTGTTGTGCACTTCTCAGATCTCTGTACATTGCTAATGCACAGACTTTGGGCTGTTTTTTATCGGATGCCATTTGGATTACTGTTAATATCATCGGTCCGTTTGTATGAGTGGAACAGAAATTGACAGCCCCAAACCAGAAATTCAGAACTCTATACTGACCAGCGACACCTGCTAAAACCAAGCCATTTTCACCGTTTCCGGTGTATTGCAAGTATCGTTTGAATGACTGAGCATTGAACAAAACCCACTTGAATGACGTGTTGGCCTGAAGCTGTTTGCGGTATATTAATTTCTTCGGTAACAATTTAACGGAGTTTGTGATAAAGCTGAAAGGAAGAAGTAAAACTCCAACTATAAAATCAAAACAGATGAATCGAAGTTGACTGGTGCATAGTTGCATCACTATATTTATCAACAAAAATACCAAAACTCCCCGCGTTAAAGCAGATGTATGTAGCACTGCAGTATAACAGACTACACTTTGAAAGGTTAACTTAAAGAAACCAGAGGCCAAAGGTCCTTGACATGGGGTGTGACCCAGAATCTTGGCTTTTTTACTAATCAGTATATTAAAGTCCTGTGTAATCAATTTTTTACATGTAAGTTCTGTCCCTGAAAATTCAAGGACTTGAACAAGTCTTCCATCGATGTTGCTTTGACCGTATAAGAGCTCCGCCTCTTGC